ATATATATATATATTTATATATATATTATATATATGTGTACATATGTGTATATATGTGTATATTATATATGTGTATATTATATATGTGTATATAGGGGGAGTGGTGGCGCAGAGGTTGGAGAAGATGGTCCTGTGATCATAAGTTGCAGGTTCAACTCCTGGTACCGTCAACATCAAAATGTGAGTGGAAAAGGTGAAGCACCCACACCTGCCTCCACCCTTATTTGTATCACTCTGGCCCCCAGAGCAAGGCCCTTAACCCCCACCATCTGCTCCCTAAACAGGTCTCTCTTGAAAATGTGTTCTCGTGGCTCAATGAGACTAACCTGGATAAATAAAGGGTAAATGAAAATTTTTTTTTTGATGATCGGTGTCAAGTCCTGAATCAGAAACAAAGAAGATACATCAATTTCTGTTTGGTCCAGATCCATTGAAACACATTGTAAACCCATCTGTCCTGCAGACTCTTCTGCAAAAATATCTGGTAACAGATGGAGTCACAACATCTTTTTTTATTATAGGTATTTTACTTTATGCAGAAGAAAAACCTTCACGATTGAATAGAAAAGCAGCAATACGCTGTCACCGAAGCACCAGAAGCTGACAGATTTTTAGACAGACATGACAGCTTAGAGATAGGTTCATACGTAGTTAAAGGCACATGCTTTACCTTTATTTAGTAAAAACACTTGAGCAGGTTTCTTTTCTTGAAAGGATTTTGTTTGGTGAACATTTAACTATTTGTAAGTTCTGCATTAAAATTAGCAGAAATGAAGTTATGACATAATTTGTCAAACGTGTCTCCTGATGGGGACTTTTTTACATTTGGTTACATCAGTGCATCACGACATATCTCAGAATAAGTGACAGATCGGATAATGACTATTGTTCTGCAAAGAGGAGTAGGAACGATAAAACTGGGATTAAAGAGCCTGCTCTGACAGGAAGTTATTAAGATTACTATGCGATGTAACAATATGTCACACTTTTATTGAATATTAGTCTGTTTTCCAAAGAAATATTTATGGAAGTAAAATGTAGAACATTACTCAATTTAAAAAGTTTGCATTACCGTTAATGTTTTGTGAGTACAAATGGGTAAGAATCACATTTGTCTTTTTTAGTAAGAGGTTACAGCAAATTTATCTGTTGTCAGAGGTTCTGCCGAGAGTTTTTATTTCCCAAAAACTTTTTATGAGGACTTTAAAAATTTCTATCTGTTGGAAAAGACTAGAAAGATTAGGAGAAATGCTAGATTTGGAGATGTATGTAGTCAATTCAGTTTATTTACT